TTGGATTATATTTTGTTTTTAGAACTATGTTTTTATAAAGATTCTTTTATAACTCATATTCTGGGTCTTGTTACTTGATACATAAATTATTTCAAGTATATTTTCTTGATCAATAACTTATTGTTTTCCTCCTTTTAATAATGCTGCTGGAGAGCTACTTTTAAGTTGGCAAGGACTCCACAGTATTATCTTTTATAGATGTATCTTTGGTGGTGTTTTGCTAAACTTGTTGCCTAACTTATTTTACAAATTTATTATCCTAGGTTTTTGTATACAATTTTTATATTTAAAACTAATGTGTGTAATTTTTTCATATTGTTAAGCAAAAATATATAACTACTTGGGAACCATTTTATTCAAACCCTGAATTTTCTCCATATTAACTTTATCCAAAAATTGCACAAAGGTATTTTAAAAGATTCAATAAAGGCTTCTTCCATACAGCCATGTAACAGTTACAGAGGCAGCATAGAAATAAAGAAAACATTTAATTTGTGATGATGATACTTCAGGAAAATACCATACAAAATACAGTGGTGTTGACTCTGCACACACCAGAAAAGACTAAATGCTAAGACAAAATATCCCCCCCCCTGTCCTTCATGAGATTCTACCTAATCATGATATAAATATTGTCAGGAAAGGCCCAGTAGGGAGCCAGTACTTTAATCACCTGTGTCATCTGACACCATAAGAGCCCCGTGCATAGCTACTATCGTGCATCAGAAATAAGCACCTTCCCCATGATGAGGAGGCTAAGGAGTGCTTTCAAATTTACTTGGTACCAAGTGGCCAAAACTAGGCCATTCAACTACACTCTTAGCTGTAGCTTCTACACCTGGCCATCAGTAGTGACATGCTACCTCACAGGTTGAGCTACCTCAGAGGCCACATAGGAGGAATCAGGCAGTCACCTTGTGCCTCCAAGAAAAGAATCAAAAAATACCGGTTAAAGTTGAAGATGTAAATACGAATCAAGATACTAATGTAAACTAAAAAGGACAGATGAGATGCCAGTGCTGAAATGCAAGAGATGCCAGAATTTTTTAACTTATGTTTTGAATCATTGGTGTTAAAAACATTTCAACCAAAAACTAAGTACAATTAATATAATTGAAGAAAAATGAAAAAAAGAAAAGCTTTAGCAAAGAAATAAAATGCTATTTCCTGAAATAGTTCTCAAGTCTTCTTTAAGTGCTGTTTTGATATGTGACTAAAATATGGTGAATGCTGCTGTTGAGTGTCTCCTAATGCAAAGTCAAGCTCACAGACACATTAGGGAGTAAAGGAGAGATGGAAGTAAAAAGGATCAAGATATAGTATGTGTTTATACCAATTCCTTCCCCACAATAGATGTAATTATAATATATATGTGTACCAATTCCCTACAATAGATGTAATTACTCTGTATCGCAAACATATACTAATAAAAATTACAAAGCTCAAAAAATATAACCTTATTTTCTCTATCACCTTTTTCACTGCCTATAATTGTACCCCTAAAGTCCATGTGGTATAGATGGGGCTTTTTCAGGGGTAGCTGGACCTAGAGTGATGCTGCTTGATTAATGGTGCAATACTAGGATTAGGGGCACTAGAATTTAAGGGTGTGGGTGTTACTTGCCCTTAGGAATAAGATATAAGGGGCAGAGAGAGCTGTGGTTCCCTTGTTCCTTTGCTACCTGCTCTCTGCCATGAACCGTTTCTCCTCTGAAATGTCCCTGTGCCATGCCAGCCTTCCTTGGAACCAGCTGATTATGTACTGAAACCTCTACAAACCATCAGCTAAATAAATTTTTTCTTCTTTACATTTGGATGTTGGGTGTTTTGCATCAGCAAAGAGATGAGTAACTAAGATATTCACCAAATTTGGCATCTTGAATTCTAACTTTTTCCCCCCAAAAAAGTGTTAGTGAACATGACAATAAATGTTTCAAATTTGTTTGGAAAATCAAGGCAGCCTTCAAGGCAGTAACCAAAGACACCCACGAAAGGGCTTTCCGAGTCCTCTTTCAGTGAGTGGCAAGAACAATGCAATGAATGTGTCCAAAGTGAAGGGTGATATTTTGAGGTGACAAAATGACACTTTCTATTGCAATTTTTTAAATTAAACTCACCATATTTTTGGAAAGCAGTTATAGTGCTAGTATTACAGTATAAATTATAAAGTGTTGCCTATTTTATGTATTACTGAAATTTGTTTGACTTTTAAAAGTAGTTTTTTATTTGTGATTAGAAGGGATAGTGTTCTCTATTCTTTTTGTCATCCTTGCAGGATTTTTCCTGAGTTATGACATGAAGATGGTGTTGCATCACTACATCAGTGGTAAAATGTCTAAAATTTTGGAAGTTTGATATAATTTCTGTCCTTATTATTTATTAGAATTCACCATGCTAAATGTCTGGACAAAGAAATTTTTATAGTTGGTGTTATTGGAAAGTTTTAAGCACTTATTTCATTATTTAATTAGATATAATGCTACTCAGGAAATATTCCTTAGTGAATATTAAGAGGTTGCACTTTCAAGAATTTAGTATATTTTGTCTATAGTTTTGAATTTTTAGATATCTGTTTACTTTCTTGTATCACGCTGTGCTTTAGTCAGTATTCACCTTTACATTTAATACCTTAAGATGATCTACTTTTGAACATTCAACATTTCTTACTAATTTTTATAATTTAGTTATTATTACTAAATGCTCCATCAAGTGATCAGTTTATCTTTCATTTTATTTAACACTTTATATATCATAACACTTCATATGTAGTACATAATGCATTACAATTTTATATTTTGCATTCATTCTCCTCCAATTTGGGAATATATTTTATCATAGATTTTATTTTTAATGAAAAGCTGTTTTACTACCAATTTTTATTTTGACACCAACGCATCTTTCACAGTACTTTAGATGAGAAAAAAGAGCAAAACAGGAGTCAATCCAGCTTCTTCTCTGATACTATTATTGCCTGAAGAACTTTTTAAAATAGTTACTGTAGAATAAATCAGGTGCAAAGAAATCTGCCAATTCTTATTTATCTAAAGAAATGTCTATTTTTAGTATTTGAAAAGCATATTTTGGTAGATATAGAATTGTGGACATTGGAATATATATATATATATATATATATATATATATATTTATTTCTTCTAGCTTCTACTTTTGCTTTTCTTTCTTTGATTGTTTCTTCTTTTCATTTTCTTTCTTCCTTCCCTTACTGTTATTTAACAAATGTTCACTGAAATTATTAGCTAACTCTTGATACCTTATACTTGAAATTAGTTTTGAAGAATTATTGTGTCTTCAAATCTTTATTTTATTGTTTTATTTTTTCTGTCCTTTTGGTTTTTTAGGTGGAAATATGCTACATAGTGTAATGCTGTCTCATGGCTCTCAGATGATTTACTCAAGTATTTGGTTTATATTTCAAATTATTCAAATTTCAATATTAAATAACTTCAAATTGACTGCCTGATTCTTGCTTTGGTGGAGTTCGGTCTACTAATAATCAACCTGTCAAGTACATTCTTCATTACGCATTCACTGTTTTTGGTCCTGTCATATCCATTAGAATTTTGTAAGTATTCTAACTCTTCTGTTATTGTTTCTGTTGCTTTCATGTTTATGTCTTTCCCATTAGTGTCTCCAACATGTTTTTTCGCATATTTTTGTGGTTATCTTTCTTGGGAGTGTGTTATTTTTACTCTGTCCTTATTAATGCCTTTCAGTTTTTTGTTGAAATGGCAACATCATAGATGGAATGGCAGAGACTGATATAAATCAGCTTATGTTTTTAAAATTGACACATTTTCCCCTGTTACATCATTATTTGGCATTTCAGTTAATATTAATAGCTAATTTGGTTTTGAAGTTTGATGTTACTCAGTTGACATTTATTTCATAGTGATCATGAAATTATTCTAAAATTACTCCATGTTGAGGATAGAGATAGCTTGAAAGAATATTTCTATTTTTTCCCTACACTCATTCTTTTCTTTGGTTTACGTTGCTTTTCCAATTTTACTTGTTACTAGAAGCTTACTACTCTATGCTGATGAATGCAGGAAAGCACTGCTGCTCTTCATAACTGGATGGAGACTTAGCTTTATAGGAGAATGTTTCTCTGCTTATACAGTATCTAATTTTCAGTATTCTTTGTGATTTTAAGCTACATATTTATGCCAAAAAAATGTTTCTACCTCTTCTTATGTATAGAAGATTTTTGTTTCCCACCTCAAAATATAATGAATTTTCTTCAGTTTCATGCAACTAATTAATTTTATTCTTTTTTTTTGAAAAGTGTTAAGGAAAGAATATCACTGATTATATATTTCATTGTCTCTTTAGGCACTATTCGGGTTTTTATGTCTTTTTGGTTCAGTTTTGGTACTTTATATGCATCTAGGCATCTGACCATTTCTTCAAGACTTTCCAAGTTTCTGGAATCACAGTTTTCACTCTAGTTGCTAGTCAGCTGGATTTTGCTAGTATCTGGTGTTATTTTGACTTTTTAATTTTTAATTGCATTAATATGAGTTTTTCATTTTTTGCTTTAAGGTTGACTAAAATTAGGTCTGTTTTTTTTTGAAGAATCAGCCCCTTAATTCATTAATTCTTTTATTGTTTTCTTAAAATCGAGTTTCACACTGATCCTTGTGAGTGCATTCATGCAGTAATTTGAGTTTGGATTGGTTTTTCTTTGACAGAATTGTGAATATATAGTTTTGGGTTTTTTTAACTTTCTCTGGTTTTCTAATCTAGGTGTTTACAACAATAAACTTCACTTTTAACTCTGTTTTCACTGTGTCTCCTAGATTCTCCAATGTTTGATTTATTCCTTTATTTCTTCTGTAATTGACTGTTCGGGAGTATATTATTTAATATCCTTGTATTTGTGTGGTTTTTGAGGCTTCTTTTACAATTGATTTATAGTTTCATTGTGCTGTGATCTAATTGTGTGTGTAGCATGATTTTATTCTTTTGCACTTATTTTGTAGGTTTAATGGACTAGAATGTCATCTGTTTTTGAAAAAGTTCCCTAGACTGCGGAGAAGAATGTCTGCTTTGTTGTTCAGTAGAACTCTTTGAAGGTATCTATTAGTTTCATTTGTTCAGTGGTATAGTGCAACTTTGATATTTCTTTGTTGATTTTTTGTTTACTTGATATCTCTGTTTAGGAGAGTGATGTATTTAGGTCTCCCATCACAATTGTGCTGGTACATATGTAATCTTTTATGTTCATTAATGTTTGCTTGATGTACTTGGGCTCACTGATATATGGTACATATATATTTATAATTATTATCTGTTCTCATTGGATTGTTCCCTTGACAAATATAAATTGCATTCCTTGCCTTTTCTGATGAATTTAATTTCAAGTACATTTTCTTGGAGAGAATCATACTCTACTTTCTTTCTGGGGTTCTGGTGCATGCAGTGTTCTTTTCTATTTTTTAATTTTTAGTATATGAATTTTTTTTTCAAACTGATGAGCCTCTTCTGTCCAGAAAATCACTAGGCTTTGTTTTCAATCCAGCCTACAAATTTGTCTCTTTTTCTTATGAGTTGAACATTTATATTGAGTTATTACTGAAAAATGTTGATACATTCCAACATGACCTTATTTCTGTTGACATCTTTAATTTTCCCTTTTTCTTGAACCAATATGCTACTTAATGTATTTATTCCATCAGAATTTGGGGAATTGTTGGCTTCATTTTCTCTGACTAAATTATGCATGATTTTTTGAGTTTTGATTTAGTGTTTATGAACTTATGATGTGTTTTAGTTATGGGATACCTTTATCCTATGTTCATTTTGAAAAGGTCATTGCAGTACATTTTAGTTTTGGTTGAAAGACTTTTACTTCTAGTGCTGGATAAAGTTCAATCCACCCTCTACTAGTCTTTAATATGTTTGTGCTGAGACCATAATTCATAGGTCTCAGTGCTGAGTGGTTTGAATCATCACCAGCACATGCATGACTGTCCCATCAAGTTACTATTAATTTTTTTACTAAAAAGACCAAGAAAACTGATTACATCCATTTTCACTACCAGTCATGAAAGCTACCTTGTGTACATTGGTGGTTCAAGCTGGTGGGAATGTATTAAAGTTTTTGTAAAAAAAGCTTTATTTAATACAATTACAAGTGATCTTTGGCTTTTCTCTGACCACTTTTATGACCCTGTCCATTGGTTTGGGCTTCTCAGATTTTGATTATGATGTGCAATGGAGATCATTTTAAAATCATTACTTGTTTTTCTGTAAGCCTCATATAGTTTATATGTTTAGTTCATTCCTTACTTTTTTCTGTTGTGATTTATTTAAACAGATACTTTATATTGCATGTGCTATCCTCTAATTTGTTTCTAACTCCATTTTTTCTTGTTAGTCTTAGCAACCTCTAATAAATACTTACTGATCTTGCTATACTATTTTTAACATATCTGTATGTATAACATCTTTTAGTTCCGTGCTATCCTTGAAGTCTGATACTTTTTCATCATTGCTCATATTCAGTAGAATTCATTATCTCTAAAGGATTTCTGTTTAGCATCTTTTCATGAAGTCAAGTTTTTTGGTAAATTATTCAATCATGTTTGAAATAGCTTTGATCAGGCCTTTTAATTTTTGGTTTTTGCCAAAATACATTGGTCACTGTGTTTTTTAGTGCCACCATTTTGTGGGTTATATATATTATTTGAGCTTGCTGAGTTTCCATGTGTCCATTTTAATCATTTCATGCTGCTCACCCACTAATGTTTGACTTCCACCCTATCAGTGCCCATTGGGCTTTTTTAAAGAGAGTTGGGAGTCTTTGGAATCATTTTCTGTCCTATTTTTTCATGTTTCTTTTTTTTTTTTTTTTTTTTTTTTTTTTTTGGTATGCGTATGTGCTGATGGTTGAAGTCAAATAGAGTGAAAATTTGTTGTTGGTATGAAGATCTCTTTAGTTAAGTTCTGTTTTCTAGTGATGTGATCTTAGCTTTATTTGTCAAGAGGCTTTTATTTGCTACTTTATTCTATTCAGTTGAATTGGGCTATATCCAGCTACTGTTATTGTAGAGATTCTTACAGGTTATACCATCTACAGATCTAACCATCCATCAATGATAAACATTAAAACCATTTAATATTATTAGCTCAAATTAGCACCCTTTTATTAGCACCAATTCTAAACTATGCTGTACTGTTATTGACAGTTAATGTGGGATGAAGAAGCAGGGAAGGACAGAGAAAGGGGAAATGAGGGGGGAAATAAGGAGAAAGGAGAAAAGAGAATGTTTATAGATAAGATACAAATTCAGACACTGTTGGATGCACTTTATAGCTAGAATAAAGGGTTAGTGCTGGTGAGTTTAAAAGAATATTTTTGGATGCATGAGAGGACTGCAATGAAAGGACAGAATAACTGGAGGTTGAGGGAAGCTGTGGAGTTGTCAAACCCTACTAACACATTTGTGGTTAGATTTACTGGGATCCTGTAAGCACATTCCATTAAAGGTTACCCCAGATAACAGTGAATGCTGCCATTTAAGTTAAAACACTGGTCTCATCTTATTCTGCTTTGTACATTAACTGGCCATGTTGGAATCTACGGTTATATCTATTGATTGGGAAGTTATAAAATGTTTATGTATAAACACTTGAGTTATTGACAAATATGCCTTATGGAGGATTATGTGGGGTAAAAATAATTAACGAGTCATGTTCTAAAAGTAGTAGAGTCCAATCCCTAAGATGAAGGGGTTCAGGAGGGTTGCAATGGTTAGAGCTTCAGGACCAAGTACAGCATTAATTAGCTGAGTTTTATGGATAAACTTAGCATCTGGATGCATTAAAAATTAAGGTAAATATCTTGTTAAACTATATAGCATAGTTTGAATGGAAATCATGTTGTGCTTTGAGTACCTAGGTACTCTTTATTGCATGGGTTTACAGTAACAGTTAAAGATCAAATCTTTCTCATGAGAACATATAATTAAAATTGTGCATATGTAGTCAGGCATAGATATATTTAAGTATTTTAGAGAAGTGCTGTTTTTAAATACTTACCACACAGGAGTTTAAATTTCGAAAGTGCAGTAACAACATCAGTTCAGCTGCTTGTTTTGAAGTGCTCTCTCTTTAATTCAATTTTTCTATTAGGTTAATTCCTCAAAGCAAATCCTGGCGGTTTGTTGTCATTTGCTTTTCAATTCATGAGTGTGAAAGCTCCCTGAGACATGCTCTTAACTTCTCTCCAAGTTGGTCTCTCAGATAAATATTCATTACATTCTTTCCTTCACTGGTAACTTCACATCCCATGTCCTTTTTTTCTGAGTATTTCATCCATTGGAATAGAATAATTATAAAGAACATATTGATTGAGTGTCCTTTTACTTTTTTTTCTTTGTGTGTCTTAAGGCAGAGCCAGAGAGAAGTAGATTATTATGCAATGTGTTTGTGCTGGCAAAATTTTAACTCCTTCCGTAACTGTTGCTCATTATGGCCCATTGTGGGTGCACACATTTTTCTGTTAATTTGAGCACGCACAATAATTACAATGCTAGACCACAAAGTATAACAAAATATAAGAAAAGTATAAGAATATAAAATATAGTATAAGTATAAGAAAGTGTAGTCTAATGTAGTTTAAATGTAATTTGTGAATTAAACTGTGAATCTGTAGAACGTTTTCTTCAAAAACTTAGTTTTCTCAGACATACTGTACATAGATCGAGTGATACTTCAGAATATACATAATGACAAATATTTTTGCCATTAAATATGTGGAGTTTATTTGGGCTTAAAATTAGAAGGTTGATCTTTAGCATATCTATGTATTACAGATGACAGGTAATAAGGAAATTGAATGAATCCCCTGATAACTGTGTGAATTATTTTGAGGGTCACAGGAGCATGAAATTTAGTCATGACCTGCTCTCCTTTCTCCTCACAGTGCAAGAATGAATGCTCAACAAGAATGTGTGGCTGTCTTTTACAAAGCTGAAGTCTACTCAGAATTCACTGATTATTTTTATGAGGGAAAAGTGATTCTCTGTAATCTGCATGAACTAATCTTCATTAATGCATTTGATATTCCCCAAACAGGAATTAAATCACAAGGAACATTTAATCTAAACAGCACTGTAAGTATAAGTTATGTATGTCTGTTGGGTCAGTTGCTTATTTTAAACTGACTCACTTCAAATGGACTTTTTGGTTTTTTTTATTTGTTTTTTTTTTTTCACTTTGTGTTAGAGGCTTATATACAGCTGTGGAAATAGAATTTCAACTATTTTCTGAAGTCCAAATTTTTGCAATACTATTGTGAGTTACTATTATAATTTAAAAGCATAAATCAGATCACAAGAATATTTCTTGCTGTTAACATATATTTAAATTTGTGTTCTATTATCTCAGCTTAGATAACTGATATTCTTTCATCTATAAAATATATAGGTTCCCTATCACTTTTTCTAAGTTACTACAGATATTAAATAATTTCAGAAAATAGCATTCTATCTTCTATAATATATATAGTTTGCCTATCACTTTCTCTGTTTAGTAGAAGGATTAAATGAGATATTATTTTTGATGTTTATTAATTTCAGTATCATCTTCAAGAAATACACTACTTAGAATTTATTGTAGTACCTGAGGTGCAGGTGTTTAATAAAAATTATTAATATAAACTTGCTTTGGCCATAAGATCCTCTTTTTTTTTGTACCAGGGATCAAACTCATGACATCTGGCTTGCCAAGCACACGCTTATGCTGCTAAGCTAAATCTCCAGCCCAAGATCCTGTATTAATAGAATTCAAATATATGGTATATTTCATCAGCTATTTACTATTGTTGGCTCATCTTTCTAAACTAAATAACAAATCTGAGTGAAATTTGATCTTCAAATGTTACATATACTGTATGTAGGCATATATTGCTTCTAAAGTAGCAAGCTATTAAAATTTCAGAAATACAAATTGCTGAGAAATAATTTTATATTCCACATTTAATCAAGCAGACATAAATACATCAAATTGTACCTATTTATGTAATTTTAATGTAATTTGCTTATTTGTAATTTGTAATTTTTCACATACATTGAAGCACAATTTGAGATATATCTACATACCCTATAAATTGCAACTTATATTAACATAAGTAATTTATGCTATTTTACGTAAACAGTTCATAAAATCTTCATTGTATTCAGATTGTTCTAGGAATAATTTTTTCAGGGCAACCTAGATAATTTTATGTGTATTACCATGTAACTGGAACCTAATAGATTTTTAATTAATAGATATGCAAAAAATAAAGAAAATAAAATGAAAATTAATGAACGAATAAATTCATGAAAATGTTCACATATTTTGCAGAAGAACTTATATTTTAGTTCATATGTTGAATATGAAGTGTCTATCTTTATATTAAATACTGCAGATATTTACTGCATACTTGATAAATGTAGACTGTCAAATCAAGTGTGGAAAAAAGAAAATACAATGCTAATCTTTTTATTCTTTGTTTCCTTAAAAAGGCATATATTTTTTTCTTTTAAGAAATGCAAACTCAGATATAAAACTAATAATAGAAACATTTTAGAAATGAGAATCAACTTTTAAAAATGAAAATGATTTAAAATGGATGCATGATGCATATGCACTACAAATTTGAAGATCATGCATGAATATTTTTATGAGATATTACTATTATATAATCTGCACATTCACCATACAAAATAAGATATAAATTATTTCCTTCATGGGCTGGGAATGTAGCTCAGCGGCATAAGCACCTGCCTTGCTAGCAGGCAGTCGTGAGTTCGATCCCCGGTACCTTCATATCAGATAGCTATTTCTCCTCCTTCAAATCCTAACAGAAAACCATGCTTATTTCTGCTAGCCGAGGTCACTTTTTCTAGCTCTTGGACTTGAAGAAAGTAGAAAAATAAGGTGAGGATTCTTTAATGTCCAGCTCATTTTACAAAACATAATTTTTTGTGTGTTGCTAAAATAATGGTTAATGCCATAAAACCGCCTGTGCTTTTTTGAGATCTGCAATGTAGACTACATGAACCAGAATGTACCCTTCTCTTTCAACACTTGGGAGATCCCTTTCTCTCGCTCAGACTGTGTTTTAAGTCCCTCATATTCAATGCAAAAATTCCTCAAAATTCTAAAAAAATAAATGGATAAACAATCTTGCTTTTGATGAGATTATATTTATATAAACAAGAATTGTATTAAGATTTTGTGAAACTATGCATGTTTTAGAAAGATCTATTGTTGATAACATACTTTAACCAAAACTTAACTAAAAAGTTAATGTCCCAATTATTGCCTATGTAAAGGCAAATATAAACTTAAAATAAGAAAATATGAAGCTTAATTTTTCTGATCAAAATTAGAGTAAAAAGATACAAATATTTTTAGTCATCTATCACACATTTTCAGTATCTATCTATCTATCTATCTATATGCATATATGTGTGTGTGTGTGTGTATTTCTGACTTACCTACTGTTCTAATGTTGTATATTTACCCTGAGCTTTGTTTTCTATTTTGTGCATTTTGACTACTGTATTTTTAAACTCTAAAACTTTTGACACTTACAAATTTGTTCTTTTTTCAAAGGTTGCTTTTGCCACTTTAGGTTTTTAGTGATTTTATATCAATTTTAATATATTTTTCTATTTATGTAAAGAATGCACCTAGTACTTCCATTAAATCTAAAGGTTATTTTCCATACTCTGGACTTATTCACAATTACAAATCTTCAAACCTGTGAATATTAGGAGTACTTTATTTTTTGCCTTTAATTTCCTTCACTATTGTTTTATAATTTTAGTGATTCTTTTATTTTTTTAATTCATTCCTAGGCATTTTATTCTTTTTGTTGCCAAATATGATTTTTTTCTCAATCACTTCTTTTAAACTTTCTTTCATTCTGAGTATTGAAGCCAGAGTTCTCCACTGAACTCCATCCCCAGGTCTTTTAAAATACCTTTTCTTGAGAAGAAAGTTGCTAAGCACTAAGTGAGCCTCGTGGGGCTCCAATTTGCACATCTCCTGTCCAGTCTCGCAGAGTGCTGGGAATAAGGTTGTGTGGCCGTGCCTGGCCTCTTACCTCTTTTTTTATTGGTTAATTATTTGCGTGTAGAATGACTACTGATTATTATTATTATTTTTGGTTCTCTGTTTGGTGATGCTGGGTATTGAATTCACAATTCTTGGGCATTGCCATGCTAGGAACATAATACATAATCTAGGTACTCTTCAGTCTCTAGTTATTTCATGATTTTGTATTCTGGAGTTTTCAGGAATTTATCAAAAATAACTTTTTTATTGGGTCTTTGGTGTTCACTGCTTATATAACCATTTTATCTGTAACAACAACTCATCATCTTTGATTTTAATATAGGTTACTTTTTGTCACCTTTTACTGTCTAACTGTCCTGGCAGCCAGGCATGGTGATAAATATCTGGAATCCCAGCATGCGAGGGGCTGAAGCAGAAGGATCACCATGAGTTCAAGACCAGCCTGCACTAAATAGCAAGACCCTGTTTCAAACAATCTTTGCCCTCAAGAAAATAATTGTCTTGGTAAAGATTTTCAGGGAAGTGGTCTTTCTTTCCTTATATAAGATCTTTAAGAAAAGTTCTTAGATTTTCCCTGTTCATCATATTGACTGTAAGCCTTTAATACATAATCTTTATTCTGATCATGCAAACTACTTCAATAACTATTGTCTTTAGAGATTTAATTATTAATGAATGTTCAATTTTGTCAAATACCTTACTGCATCAACTGAAATCATTACATAATTTCTTTGTTTGGAGGGATTTTGTGATGTATCATTGTGTTCCCATACTGTCACTGTGACAAAATTCTTAAGAAAACCAACAACAAAAGGAATACTTATTTGGAATCAATATTTCAGTTTACAGTCCAATTGCTATTGATCATTTGCTTTGATATTGTAGAAATAAGAGGTTTGATACTGTAGAAATAAGCAAGCAAAGAGACTGGAAAAAATTTGAGTCTCAGTATTTTTTTGTGGGTGTATCTCTGGGAGTTCAAGGGCAGCCTGAACTGCATAGCAAGATCTTGTCTCAAGAAAAAAAAAAGATACAAATATATTGTCATGCATACTTTTCTATGAATATAAAATGTTAATTAGTTGTTAGCACTAGTTTTCTAATGTAGTTGATGGTGTAGCAAGAAAATAATTTAGGCATAAACAATACAAAGCCTCTTTAAAATTCATACATTTAGCTATTCAAGGTTAAGAGACTTTAACATTGTATAATTCTTTTTCATACATTTTGTACCTGATGTGTGTTGTATTATTTAACATTTTGTAAACTTAATTATTTAAAGAAAATGTTTCATTTTTATTTTTCTGATAGTAGGAGTAATCTAAATATTTTTGTCTTGTAGAGCATTTTGATAACACATATATGTACATATTCATGAATCTTAGAAAAATAAGAACCAGTATATTCACAGGAAAGGCCTTATTCTTTATACTAAGTTTGGGTTAGGATATTTAATATGCTCAAATTTATAAAATCTTTTTCTAAATTTTATAAATTACTTTCATAAACAAGCAAACCCGAAAGTTTGATCACACCATGTGATCACGTGTGAGTGGAGTTTATATTTGATTGAACAGTGGATATTCTTTTTCTTCTCACCAGGTTAATGCACTGAAGATACTTACAATTACCTGACAGAACTCTGTAGTGTTCATTTCCCTGTCACTGATAAACTGCTGATGATCATTCATTTTAGACCCATTGGCAAATGGCAGCCCAATACTCAGATAACTTTACTGTCTTTCATCTGACACTTTTTATAATGTTTATTGTTTTGACTATTAAAAGGATTCTTCAAACAGAGCATCATTTTATTATTTCTGATTTTTTTAATCTGAGCACTGAGTGCTTGGTGTCATCAAAAGCTTATAGGAATTCCTGTTTCAGAATTCCCCTCACAACGATCTCACTCATCAGCTTCCAGCTAGGCAGGTAGAATTGAGCAACATCTTACAGTATCTCTAGCATATATATATATATATATATCTTTCTCTTGAAATTCAACAACCTCAGGAGTAAAGCATACAAGTATGTATTTCACTTTTTAAATGGTTAAACCATCTCCAAATTTTCCCTGCTTTTTGGTTTCTACAGTGACATTAAAAATTTTTGTGTGGGCATGTGGAGATATATGTCTCTGTGTGAACATACAATTTTGGCATTTATAATTCTCCCGTAGTGTTAGTTCATTGTAAGATATGTCATTATTGCCTGAATTGCATATCCTAGGATTAGTCTTTAATCCTCTATATAAAATATCATGCTCCTTTAGGCTGGAAGTAACACAGTATAAGAATATTTTATACAGCTATTTGTTGATAACTTAAGGTTATATTACAGGGTTTCCACAGTTTATAAGTATCTAAATAATTGAAATGTTATGTTATTTTTCATAAAGAACAAGTGAACAAATGAAATTTATTGAATTTCAGTCGCTGTAAAAATTATCTGTTTTGTGCAATAAATCACTTAACATGTAGTTATTAAAGAAGTGAATTCTCTAGCAAAATGTGAAAATTAGCAATGAATGGAGCAGAAAGTGAAATGAATAGGACAAACGGACAACAATGACAGAAAAAAAGCTCAACAGAAATGAGGCAGAGAAGGAACAGCAATTTTGGAGAAATCAAGACATCACAATAGGTAGTGCTGATTTAATATCCTCTTGTTTTGAAGTCCCATCAAGCTTTTGTTCTTCTGTCTCCATCGGTTTTAACGTGTTGTATCTTATTGGATTTTATTATATGTGATAATATAAACAAAAACTTTTATAGACAAGGAGATTATACAGAAACCATTGTTCATTTTCTGTTAGTTGATTCTGAATACCCTGTAATACTGTCATTCTCTTGAACAGTTTTATATTGTCTTGATATGTTTGATGCTACAATATATGAAGTTATACCCAAAGATTTTAAGGGAAGAGACACTATGGTAGCTACTATTATGTCGAGATTATCTTGTGGTGAAACACTATTTTGCTTAAATGGCTATGTTTTGACCTGTGATGTTTTGTTGCTATGCCCTCTTTTTTATCTCAATCTCTTTTTTATTATCTACTTTTTCATTTTTATCCTTTTAATTAAGGGAAAAATAAAAAAATAGCAGGATATATTATAGTAACCCACTTTGATTTCCTATTAACTTGATTTGAAACTCTGTATTGCTCTCACCATCTTGTTTTGACTGATTTTCCTCTATTCTGTTATGCTTGACCAAGTTTGAAAGTATAGGCAACAACTATGAAGATAATAAGATTCATTGTGATGCCCATTCTGGTTGATTATTATCTTCTTTTGAAGTCCTCTAATGTCTCCAATGTTTTGGTTTTATTGGTCTTATTCTTTACTGTTTTGTTCAGTTTTATTATGACTGATGATATAGGCAATTCTTTTTAAGATAACAAAAGGCATTATGGTAACCATTGTTGATACCTTGTATGTTGTTTTTACATTATGTATTATGCCCATCCTTTTGATTTGACAGACTCTGTCCTGGTATGTCACGTTTGGTTTTACTTTCTTCAAAAAAAATTAATAAGAACTATGGGAGTAATAAAACCCAAAATGTGTAATTGTCATTGTACAAAGAAAGGAAAAGAAAATTCTCTAAAAGACATAACTGCATAGATATTTAAGTGTATAAGATAGATAACCATATTACTGAGTGTTGTTGGATCATTGAACAAAACTGTTTGCAGTCTCACTGTTTGAAAGTTCCCTCTATATGCTTTAATTTTGTAACTTCAACAACTATTTCTAAGATGACAATATGTAATTAATTAATGATTTTCTACTGTTTATTTTTTCTGAAATTCTGTATAACTTTTACCTCTTTTCTGTTTTTTGTCTTTTTTCTCCTTAAATAAAATTTTAAAAAATAAAATTAATTCTTCTAATAAATAAATTATATGCTCCAATATCCTTTATATATTAGACATATGCATTAACTTAGTTACATTTCATATCTGAATGTATTTTACAGTTATTTATCTTAAAATGAATGGACTTGATGTTTCAAGTTAGACAGCAAAACAGCAAATACATAAACATTAATCAACCATAATAAAAAATATATCAGCAAGAATAACTAAGCTAAATATAAACCAAAAAATAAACTCCATCTTTTCATGCATGAAAAACTTGTTGATAAGAAAGGAAAAGATGCATTTGCTAAAAGTTTGTGTTATAAGCTCACAGAAAGAATTTTCAGACATTTGCACAATGGTATGTAACAAAAATGCATTTCTTGGCAATAGTTGCACACAGTTTATATAATCTTCAAAGTTAACTTTAAGATAACCAGTATGTCAAATCTGGTGCCACGGTATATTTTATTTGATAGTACCACTTTTCACCATTCTCAACTTATACTCTAAACTCACAGTCCAATTTTTGTAGGTTTCTAGAGTTAAAAACTAATTCAATACTAATAGAATTTTAATGAAGAATGATTAAATGATTGCTTTTGTGTTTGCTGTTTGCAATTACACTCATTATCAGTATTACTTTGCTTATACAATAAGGCAGAAAGAAAACACCAAGATTTTAGTCATTACACATGAATTTCCTACTTATTTGTATGCAGAAATTTCTGAATAATATTGCCTACAGTAATGAAATTAATAAGTGAATTCAGCAATTTTCAAGTATAAGATCAATATACTTCATCAAAATTATCTTCAAATGTTTAGAAAATAAATTGGAAAATTATAGTTAATTTAAGTATCACTTAGAATAACCGAAATGCAGTTTGTTGTGAGTTTAATAATAAAAATACAACAAGTCCTTTAGAATGTGCAGTAGTTCTCTTTGTGTGACTAAACCTTCCATTATTACAAAAAAAAAAAAACATAATTACAAAAGAAAAGCTTTGTGCTGGTTAAATTTGAGAGATTCCAGTCTCTGGGACTGTTGACTTGCAGTGACACAGTATGTGCAGTGAAGCAAAACTTCTAACCTCATGGCTAGGAAAGAGTAGAGGGAAGGGAATACACTGAATTTCATGATCCTCTGCAGAGCTTTGGTTCTAATGACCTAAGTACCTTCAACCAAGTTCCACCTATCAGAGGTTTCACTCTCTTCTACCAAGTCTTCAACACACTTTTTTTAATTTTAAAAAGATTAAGACAAAAGAGAACATAGCAAAACAGGTCAGAACAGAACAATTTAATCAACACAGTTTCACCGCAAGACAACTCGACATAACAGTAGCTACCATAGTGTTTCTTTTATTGAAATATTTGAATATACTTTCATACACTACAGTATCATACCTAACAAAATAGTATAAAATCATTCAAGAGACTGAAAGTATTACAGGGTATTCAGAACCAACTAACAGAAAACAAACAAGGATTACTATATTATCTCCATGTCCATAAAATTTTTGTTTATACTATCACACCTAACAAAATCCAATGAAATATAACGTGATAAAACCAATGGAGACAGAAGAACAAAAGCATGGTAGAATGATATTAAATCAGCACTAGCTATGATAATGTCTTTTCATCAAAATAGCTGTTCATACCATCACAGACAAAATGAAACAACCAGAATAAAACCATTCCATCATGAATGAAAACATTATAAGGCTTCAAAGCAATATAATGGGGAATAATGATTACCATACACTTTGATATATTCTTATCATTTCTTACACTAAGAAGACTGTATGGTATTTATACATGACAGGTTGATTCATTTCGCTTGTAAGTATGGTCTCAAACTTGAGACCAAGCCTTCAACACTTAAGCACTGAAGATAAAAACTGTAGCACCTCTTATTTGTGGTTTTGCTTTCCACACTTTCAGTTAGCTACAGGCTTTGTGTCTGTAATTTGTGGAATTATACAAAAATAAACCATTTGTAAGGGTTAAATTTTACACCCTTTACAGTACTACAATGAAATCTATTTCCATTCCTCTCTATCCTGCTTCGAACATTAACTGTTGCTTTCTCAATCATTTCCACATTGTACATGCTAAATCAGTAACAGTAGAAATCTTGGTTTTCAGATGATCATGGCACTGCATTCTTGTGGTCCAGTGACTTTTATGTTAACTCAGCAAAAGTGCAAAACACAGTATTAGTTATGTTGGCAATTTGGGTATGCCTGAAAGAAGACATAGTGTTTTCTTTAAGGAAAAAGGTGAAAGTTTTTGACTCAATAAGTTCTTTCCTTAGAGAAAGCAAAGTAACCTTACATTGAGATTGCTAAAATCCATAGTAAGTGAGAAAATGTTAATTTCTCAATGTGCTTATAGCTTAAACTTTGCTACAAATCTGCACACAGAATAAAACACTGTATACAGGATCTAGGATTTTCCATAGTTTCACACATACATAAGGGACATTGCAATATATTCCTATGGATTAAAGGCACTAGTATACAATACAATGTGTATCTAATTTTTAATATGGATATTTTCTGTATTCAAAAGTATCATGTGCAGCACTTTATTTTAAATAGACATGAATTAATTCAGTTTCATTAAAAATATATGAAATTTTAATAAACTACCCAGATAGTTTCTAAATATTTATTATAATATCAGTGTCAAAGATGCAAGATAGACAAAATTGAAAGACATTTTTAAAAACTGTTATCTAGTTTTTCTGTAAAGGTAATATGATCAGTAGAATGTTGGTACTGGTATAAAACTAATATATCAATAGAAAGTTTTAAAATAGTGCAAAATTAGTTCTATATCAAAATGTTTCTTTGCATTTTTATGTATTATTTAATTGATGCCATCTTCCCAATTTAAGTTACTTAAGGTAATCTTTTAAATAAC